ATTAAATATACATAAAAATGAGTTATTCTTGGTAATATCGATAAAAAATAGCATTTCTATTTTGTCTATATTTACAAATAAATCATAACTTTTAATCAAACTATGTGTCGATGGAGGTGAGAACAGGGCGTTTGGCTTCCATGCGAGAAATTTGTAGATTTTCGTTAGTGGGTCGTAGAAACTCGAGTAGATTGGCTCTCCATATCCATTCTTGTTACACAAACTACTATTCTTAAATTTAAAAGGAAATTTACTCGAGAGGATATTTTATTTTCAAAATCAATGACCATGATATCTCGATAACCTCTTAACATTATTAACGTTTTTCTGTTTTATTCAAAACTAAAACTAAAAACTGTTGTTGGTCGTATGTTAATTCCGATGTTTACTTAAATAACAATAATAAACCGTCTTTATTTAAAAACAAAGACGATTTTTAGACGTAGAATATTTTTTCGTCGATTTAAAAACATTTTCACGCGGCGAAAAATGATTTTCAAAGAGCAGATTTCAAAAACTAATATTGAAGTGTGTTTGCTAGCAATGGAAACTTCGACAAAAAAAATGTCTATATAGAAATTTAGTTTAAACAAGGTGTAGTATTTCCGTAGAATCGTAGTGGCAATCAATACTTAGGGTCCGATTACAATTAGATGAACACAGGTACGTAATCAATTGGCGGAGTAATTTGTTGGTAATCGACGCCTATTGAGGGTTTAGTGGCTTGTTAACCTTCCGGGACTGGCGTGAAATTTTTGTGATCCAGCGATGGCGGCGGACTGTGAGTCCGCATAATAAATTTGAGCCAATTATAAAACAGTTTGCAATTATTTTTGTTCATTTATTTGAAAGCATCAAAAATAATTAAACAACATTAATTTTACAACAAAAAACATAAAGGAACATGTATTTTTGGCATTATTAGAAATACATCAGAAAAGTTTTGAAACTAGCTACTAAAAACATAAAATCAACGTAATATAAACAAAAAATATATTAACTTATTATAAAACTATTCACTGTGACATTCCAAACATATAGGTGTCAAATGTTCTACACACATGAACTTTCCATATATATTAATAGTGTGGTCAAAAATGGGATTGGCAACTGGCGGCGGACTCTCACTCCGCAATCTTTTATAACATAAGAACAAAAATACACTCACGCTTCAAACTTTGAGGTACTACTACTAATTTAATGTTTAAATAATACAGAAATGCACCGATTTGAGAAAGGGTGGGTTACGCAACAAACGGCAAATAAAAAGCGCTACGGACTGAGAGTCCGCGCGCCAGTCCCGGAAGGTTAATATTATAGGAATGTAGGAATATTTTTGAACCAAACAACTCACATATCGCTACCTTAATTCACAAACGTCGTAAGTCCACTTCTATTGAAAAAAACGGGTTTTAGTGCCATATCTTGCTTAGGTTCTATACCTACCTGTCTATGAACCAGTAAGTAGCATTCAAAGGTCCTATTTTGTGTACAGACTCAAATAGAAAATGTCGTTACTCCCACATTGTCAAATTCAAAGTAGAAAAAAGCGTCAGTAGCTATTACAAACAGAGGGGAAACCCCTATTACAAATATTTGACTAAAGTTTGCCAACAAACGACGAAAATATTGGTGGAACTGAAAACGAAAAAGAGCAAGTAGGATACGAAGACAACTTAAGTAATAAAGATGCAGAAAATACAGATAAAGATGACCCCAATTATGAAAAAGAAAATTATTCTGAAGAAAGTTTGACTGAAGCAGATATTGAAGAACAACCCGAAAATGTTAGACCGAGAAGAAATAAAAGACATAATGTAAAAGAAAACATGTGGGAAAAAACAGAAACAAACGAAAACGAGAAATGGGAGATAACTATTATGGTAAACGGAAGCGCAATGGAGTTTGGAACTATGAAGTTACAAAAGAAAAGAGAACAATAAAAGAGGATTGTTACTGCAAAAAAATCATTAAAAAACAAAAATTGTAATGTAGACAACTCATGAAAATGAAAGAACAGAAATATTTCAAACTTTTTGATCAAACATGTCATGGGAACAAAGAAAAGTTTATATAGACACGTTTGTTCAAAAAGAAGAAACTAAAAGACAAAGAAACAGAAAAGACGAGAACAAATCAAGAAGAGACTTTACTTGGCTTTACTTTTACAAACACTAAATGAAAAAAGATTTAGGGTTTGTAAAATCATGTTTTTGAACACATTGGGAATAAACGAAAGATCTGTTATTTACTGGAAAAACGATTCTATAAATAAAGTGGATAATAGAGAACAACTAGGCTTAATCGTGAATAACCATACTGAAGATGTCAAGAATAGGAAAAAAATTTGATGGAATTTTTTAGAGACGTCCCTAAAATCGAGTCTCACATTGCCGTGCTAGGGTCATCTAAATTTTATTTGGAACCTGTTTTTGAATCGAAATCCGGCCTTTATAAGTTTTATAAGAGCTGGTGTCATGAAAAAAGTTGCACTCCTGTGTCGGAATTTGAGCTTATTTTAAACCAAAAAAGACTAGTGTGACGTTTGTGTGGGATATCGCACAAAAATGTATCAGAAGATTATGTTTTACACCAATTTTAAAAAACTGAGTCACGAGAAGCTAAGGAGAAAGATAAAAACTCTAACAATAGAGTTTTTTTGCAGGGATGTACAAGCTGTACTTTTAAGTCCCAAGTCTAATACATCGGCTTTTTATTTTAAAATGAAACTTTACCGTGTATGACATGAAGACTAGAGAGTGTTTGTGCCAACAATTATGCATCTATAATTTGCTACTTTCTTAAAGAGTATGTGATGAACGAACTGGAAAATGATCAAGGAATTATCCTATACAGTGATGGCTGTACGACCCAAAACAGAAACGCAACACTTTCCAATGCGTTGATATCAAGTCGGTGGCGTAGCGATCTCACGCGCTTATATTCATTTATAGGCAAGTTTGTGGTCAGGCTTCGAATCCTACACCAGACCATGTGGATTCCAGCTGATTATGTTAAAATTTGTACACCCAGACCTTTTATTGTCAAGTATCTAAATTATAACTTTTTTAAAGATTTTAGTTCTCTTAAGTTTATAACATCCATAAAACCCGGGCGCAAGGTTGGAAAATTGATTGTTACCGACTTAAGATGTCTAAAGTATTGTCCCGATGGAAACATTTATTTCAAAATTAGACATAGAGACTTTGAATTTGACAATATGGAAGTAACGA